AAAAAGGTGACATTTGACGCGGGCATCTTAAACGAGATTTCTTACGCACATACTGCTGCTACTGAGAAATCAATAAATAAAAAGCGCACACATACACATTGCACACACAGTGAACCGAACATACGAACCAGTTTGGGCACGATGCACATTGATGAATTTTAGTGCATTCATAAAAGCGTCAGAAATCGAGCCACGGCCGCGAGGGCGTAGACGCTTCAGCTGCTCGTGTAGTACGGCACTGCTCTCGCGCCATCCAGACTGCAAAGAAAAAAATTGGAGACAGCACTGAAGTTTGTAGAATTTATGGAGGGGCTTTACCTTGATGCAGTTCGGGTACTCCTCAGTGGTTATGAGAAAAAACCGATCATAGCCCCGCGTCGCTACGTCTTTCATGCGTTGCTGCAAATGTCGTTTTTTACTCTCAAAACGGTCGGAACCTTTAAGCGCCGCATTACTCATTCAGCACTAGAAGGCATTATGAAGAACTACACCTACCTTTTGCAAAGCGTCAATAATGTTACGCGCAACATCCAGATATGATGTGCCCAAGTATGTCTTTTGCGCCATTGAAGCGCTCGTATCAACGATTAACAATATGATAGTCATGATTCATCCGAGCACGGTGCGTTTCACGTAGACCGACCTCCAACACAGAAGACGACCACACCGCACACCCGAACCTGGATGAAATGAACCGCGGCCTCTGGAGTAGGCGTGAATTAGCGGGGGATAGCCGCGTGCACTTGCGGACAAACGGCGATACTGTGCGAAAATATTACAGTGGATTGGTCTCCGTGGGAAAATTTGGAATTAGAATAGAGTGAAGCTAGAATTTCGTCTTCAGTTAGTGCGTCAGGAAGAAGTTTAAGTTACGATGCCCTTTTATCACACGTCAAGTTCTTTTCTTGCCTCACTTTTGTCCTAGGGGTGGTCAATTTCGCTTTTATGCAAATACATTTTGAAACAGGATTAACCCCAGGCAATTTCAGGCATTGATGTGTTATTGATAAATAGAGTAATGATTTCGTCCTGCGAAAATCCGTCAGAGCAAAGTTCTGTGAAGTTCCTCTTAAACATCTGATCCTCACAAACACTGCTATTCTTGTGTTTGTCTGTTTTCCAACAAAAGCTAAAATCTTAAATTATTGAAAGAACTCATTAAGCAGATGTGAGAACACTTCAGAGAACTGACTTTGTAGAGATGAATAAAGATGACGTGAATGCTTTTAAATCTAAAAGTGGAATTCTTCAACTCTCAGACCTGAAACGAAGCAGTGACGTCATTGGAACTGAAAGCAACTCAACTGAGTCACGGAAGACACTTTTTAATTTTGCTAGTTTCGGGTCTGAATTCCTGCGTTCTTGCTTCTTTTTT